CCTGCTTCCAGTCCCAACTCTTCCTGGTGGGTGCTGCTGCCTATCCCTGACTAGCCTGTTCCATCCTTGGCTCTTATGTGAACCAGTTGGTGAAGTAGCCTAGACTCAGCCCATACCCTGTCTGGCTCCTGTGTGTTGTCAGTGGATCTTAAAGCTTGGCCATGCATAGGTTGGCCCTCCCGCTATGTCAGCCCACATAAGCCAAACAGTAGTGCATCCTCACCTAGCCTGACTCACCCCCAAGCCCAGCTCTGGCCCACTCCTATACCAGATCTTACTAATGTTGGTGAGTGCTAGGCCCCTGCCTGCCAGTCTACCCTGAGTCCTGGACTTTGAATGTGCTGAGGGTGCTGTGGTCCAGCCCATTCTGAGACCTGATTCTCGGGTGTGCCTGTGTGTGCTACAGCCTGGATTAGTCCAGCCTACTCCCAAGCACAGTTCATTTGAGTACCAGTGAGTTCTATAGTCATGTCTAGCTTGGCCCATCACTACCCACAGCTCTCATACAAACCAAGCGCACATACCTCCTAAAATATCTGCCCCCAGACCTGGTTCTCTCATATGCCAGTTGGTGTCATGGCCAAGTCTAGTATGGTCCTTCCCTTGCCCTGACACTTACTGACGGGTACTGTGGTCTATTCCTGCCAGGCAGGCCCCTGGCTCTAGCTTTCATGTGTGCTGGTATGTGGTGGCCAATACTACCAAGTCCAGCCCAGGACTCCAACATGGGCAATGTGCATTAGTCTGACCTAGACATGCCTTCTGGTTTCCCCTCTCTAAACAACCTGTTCTTTAAACCACCTCATCTATCTGCAAGTAAATTTACCTTGGAAGGCCCCAGCAGTCAGTCATTCCACACCTGTGGAGCACTCCCTCAGTGGCCCTACTCCCAAGTATCCCCAAACCCCCTTCCCAGGGCTATCCACAGTGTTACCCGCCACCACCTTGTGTGGCCCCCAAGGTCATTTGTCTTCGAGTAGGCACTCGGTTCTAGGCTCTAGGCTCAGTGGAGGTGGCAGAGCCTCCCAGAGACAACTTCTTCACATATCTTTAAAAAAAAAAAATAGAATAGCTAACAATGCTGGGTCTCTGGCAGATTAACAGAAAGATGGCACTAAGCAGGCTCAGAACATTTCCAAAGTTTAAGAAATAACCAGCACTTGGAAATGATAACATTTGCAAAACACTAATAACAATCATCTCTCTTCAAAATAATGATTTAAAAAGGGGGAAATAAGAACTTTGAAATTCATAATCTGGAAGAGAATTATGAGCTATCAGGTACATGAGAAAACACTTTATTGAAAGAGTAAAGAGTTATAATGGCAAGAAAGTTTATAAAGACGGAGGAGGAACACTAGTAACAGTCAAGCAGACCCTAATTTAGAGACAAAGGCATGTTCGAGAGTGGAAACTAGCAAATAAGCAAGGATATTTGGACACAGAAAGGAACTTCAGAGTCAGTCACAGAGAATAAAAAGTTTAACAAAGGATGGATAAATGGAGGAACTCGGCATACAAGGCAGCCATGAGGTCTAGATTGCTTGATATAGTTCAGACTCAGATACCTGCTTCCCAAATCATTTTGTACTACTTTTTATTTCAGAAAATGTGGTCACCAGTATATCTATCTGCAGCCACAATTCCTGGAAAAACGCCATTGAAGGAAGAAAAATCTCAATAATTATTTATATTTGTAAGATATTTACTTAACGTTTTGAAAGCTAGAATTACAGAGAGAGAACGGAGAGAGAAGGAGGTCATTTCCTCACAGTTGACTCTTCAGCTGTCAGCGAAGGGCAGGCCTGACCCTGCAGGCCGCACAGGTTCCCTACGTGGGTGCAGGGACACAAGCACTCAGGCCATCTTATGTTGCTCTCCCAGATGCACTTGCAGGATTCTGGATCGAAAGTGGAGCTTCTGTTCTGGTGTTCATTTGGGCTGCCAGAATCGCATACAGTGGACTTAACCTGCTGGGCAACAATGCCTGCCACACAATAATGATTTTTTGGCAATGATAACTACTTTAAAAGCCCAATCACAGAGAATACATAAAACAATTTTTAAAAAGTCACTGTAAAGGAGGAAAACTGGGGGATGGTGCTGTGGCACAGTGAATTAAATTGTCTCTTGCTATGCAGGCATCCCATGTCGGAGTAGCCAAGAAGAGCACCCCAGCTGCTCACTTTTTGATTCAGCTTTCTACCAATGTACCTGAGAAGGCAGCAGCAGATGGCTCAAGCAGCATTCACACCCAGGTCACCCATATGGGGTATCAGGATGAAGTTCCGGGTTCAGATACTGGCCCGGGGCACCCAGACTACTGTGGACATTTGGCGAATGAACCAGCAGGGAAGATCTGTTTCTCATTCTCTTTCTGTTGCTCCACCTTTCAAATCAATCAATAAATCAATCTTTAGAAAATAATCTAGAGAGAGAAAAATGGGGTGGCATTTACAAAGAAGAGCAGTCCCATTCATCTGACGTCTTTATACTACTGACAGTAGAAACTAACAGCCCTAAGTTCTGCTCTGCATAGGAGACTGAAGCTACACTCATCTCTGACGATACTGTCACGGCTGGATCATCTACACACATCTATGCCAGGTTTGGGGGTTCTAGAGAGAAGTTTCCACTGCCAGGAGAATGGTACAGTCATTCCCCTTAGCCTAGAACAAAACTGAAAAGAGATGTAAGGGACCTCTGTAATACAAAGCTCCCACAAAGAGACAAGCTTAGGGTGCTACAGACATGGACTGGAATAGCTAATAATTGTGGAATGTTTGCTATGTTCCAGGAACACACGCAGTATCTTATTTAATACCCGCAACAACCTTACAGTACTATTATTAGCTCAGTTTACACAAGCACAGTAGGCTTGGCGAAGTTAAGGAACTGCTCAAGATAACAAAAGTAGTAATAGGTAGGACTGGGATTTGAATTTATGTAGTTTGGTTCTTTTTTTATTTTTTAAAGATTTATTTTTATTATTTTTTCATTGGAAAGGCGGATATACAGAGAGGAGAGACAGAGAGGAAGATCTTCCGTCCAGCGCAAGGTCGATACTATGCCGATCTGAAGCCAGGAGCCTCTTCCGGGTCTCCCACGCGGGTGCAGGTTCCCAAAGCTTTGGGCCATCCTCGACTGCCCTCCCGGGCCACAGGCAGGGAGCTGGATGGGAAGCGGGGCTGCCCGGGATTAGAACCGGCGCTCATATGGGATCCCGGGCGTGCAAGGCGAGGACCTTTAACCACTTGCGCCACCGCACCGGGCCCTGTAGTTTGGTTCTTCAAAACACCCACCTGCATTCAAATATATGGCTGCCTTAACCCTACAGGGTTATTCAAACACATTAAAATCTATTTTTCTTTAAAGAACAAATTAATTGGGAGAATCCCAGAGCCTATGAAACTGTGTCATAAAATAAAATAAAAAAAAAAGAACAAATGAATGCCCTCAAAACTAGTCCTTGTTCATTTTATCTCAATGAAGAAACTTAAATCATACTCTAAAAATTGGACTGGCACTAGTGTGTCAATTTTAAATAGTAAATCTTCTTAAGGTTTGTTTTATTTTTATTACAGATGTACAGAGAGGAGGAGAGACAGAGAGGAAGATCTTCTCTCCGATGATTCACTCCCCAAACGGCCAAAATGGCCAGAGTTGAGCTGACCCGAAGCCAGGAGCCCAGAGACTCCCCCAGGTCTCCCATAGGGGTGCAAGGTCCCAAAGCTGTGGGCTGTCCTCCACTGCTTTCCCGGGCCACAAGCAGGGAGCTGGACGGGGAAACGGGGATGCCTGGATTAGAACCAGTGCCCATATGAGATCCCAGGTGTGCAAGGCGAGGACTTTAGCTACCAGGCTACCGTGCCAGACCATAAATAGTAAATCTACACTTGAACTTAGCCAAAAGGTCGAGAAGCGATTTAAATAGCAAATCTTAAATCTTTAAAATGTCCAGCATTTTATAATTTTTCATAACAAAGCATGGGTAGGGTGTGTCTCCAAGCCAGTGTGAAATGGGGATGACCGTGATGGACCCTCCATTCCCTTCAGATCAACACATAAATTCTACATTCCACTTCCTGCAATTATCTGGACCCGATGGATTGCTTTTCATTACTTAACAAAATAGGTCACTTAAAATCAAGTGTCTTCAGTATACGTCCAAGTTTCAACAACGGAGATTTACTGTTTAATAACTTTGATATACTAATCCAAACCCACTTCAATGGTGTCTATTTCCTCTAACCTACTCCTTTTTATTTATTAGTACTCATTAACATCTTAGTTTACCACACTTAGTTTGTGGAAAGTTCCATCTCATATCCACCTTTGCCTAGACAGATGAATTTCCATACGCTACCCAAGGTTAACAACACGATTCTGAGACATGACTGTACCGCAAACACCAAGACTTGGTTGCCACAAGGTTGGCTACCCTGGCAGGGAAAGAACTGCCAGCAAACCTACTACTAGGGCGGGCAGGGCAGGGCGCTAGCCGGGAGGAGGGGAGGCGGGAAAGAGGAGGGCTTGATTCAACATTCGCTGCGCCACTTACTAAGCGCAAAGAAAAAAAAAAAGCCGGGGGGGAAAGGGGCTGGGCGGTATTTTGGGCTTGGGGCCCGGTTAGTTGTGATCCGGGGCCAGAGTCCGTGGGTGGGGAGCCGCCCCTGAGAGCAACCGGGCTGGCTCGGAGCCCTCACGCCAAGCCGGACACGGATGAGCAACCAGGGCCGGGCCTCCGGAGCCCGGTCCCGGCACCCGCACCCTGGCCGGCCCCGCCGCCAGCAAGCCGGCCGACCAGCCGCCGCCGCTTACCAGTGGCGCCTCGCTGCCTCCCGGGGGGCAGCCCTTCAACGGCTGCCGCAGTCAGAGCACCACCCCGCGGTGGGGCACGTCGAGCCCGCTCGCAGCTCTCGGAGTCCCGCAGCGCCACTCCTCTCGCGAGAAGCCGGAGAGAGGTCCGGGAAGTCGGGGGAGGAGGGGAAGGGAGGGGCACTTAACGGTGGCGGCTGCTTGTGCGCCGGATCCTGGAAAGGGCCGGGCGCCATTGTGCTTCGCTGCGGACTGCTCTCCGCCCCCCCTCCCCCGCCATCCCCAGTCAGAGAGGCCTCGGACGGCGAGGCGGGACGCGGCGGCGGGGTCGCTTTGAGAGTGCGACGCGCCCTGGTCAGCGCCGGCTCCGGAGCTGAGGTAAATCCACTGCGGGGACTCGGGCTTCCCCGTCCCGGGGTGCTGGTGGGGGAGGGGACGAGATGACTCGCCGGCCTGTGGGGGGACGTGAGGGCCGCTCGCTCGGCCGGATGGGGCGCCGGAGGAGCATCGCGGGCCCTCGGGGACGGAAGGGAGCGGGCGCGGGCTTCCCGTGCCGACAGGCTTTGGCGCGGTGCGAGAGTTTGTGTCGGGTGAAGAAGGGGTCGGCTGTACGCCTTCGTGATGGCCGGGTGGAGGGGGAGGGCCTGAATCCAGCTCGGGCCTGGCGGGTTGCGGGAGGCCGGGGGCCCCGCGGGTGCGGCGGAGCCCCGCACAGTGTGTCCTGAGAGAGATTAAATGGCGAGCCCGAGTTGGAGGCGGCGCGGGATCGGGGCTCGGCGGCCTCAGATCGAGGGGGGCCTTGGGGGGCCCCCCTTCTCTGCCCTGCTGAGAGCCGCGGTGCTTGAACGCGGTGCCTGACGGGGTGCTGCCTGGGTCGCCGGCAGTCACGTCTGCTTCAGAATCAGCACGGTGGTGGTGGTGGCTTGGACCCAAAACCGACCTGTTGGCGGAAGAAGTGGGGGAGAAAAAAAATGGAAGGCTCGAGTAGTAGACTACTCGCTGGGTTTTGGTGAAACTGCGCAGTGGCGATTCATGTGTACGCACAGCCGCGTAGAACCCTGCCCTTAGTAGTTGTCGCTGCGTGCGGAAATCGGTTTTAATCCCCGGGGAAGGCCTGGGGGGGGGGTCATCAGTGGTATTGTTCAGAGAGTAGATGTGCCCAGTAAAAGTGAATTCAGTAAGGTTTGGTAAACCTTTTTTTTTTTTTTTTTTAAATTTTTCCTTAGTTTAATTCTCCCTTCCTGTTACTCCCACCTACTCGTTTCTGTCCAGAATGAACAGGTAGGGTTAATTTTTTTTTTTTTCAAAGCTCAAATAGTAGGCTGGGTAAAGAGGGAGACACGTGGTGTAACTAGAGTTTTTTTTTTCCTGAAAGAACAGTTGGGTTGGAGAATTGAGGTCAGTGTTTTCATTTAACAGCTCCGCAGCGTTGAGTTTGAAAAGGAGTTGGAAGCAGTGGCCCTGGCGTCCGAAGATTAGGGTGTGATGTTTGATTTTCACCGTAGTGATTCGACCCCTTCAGATTTCCTCAGGAATATAGTTTAATCCTTAGAGTTGAGGTGAAGATGAAATTAGATGAGGTAGGTGTGAAGCCATCAACACTGGGGCATGTGACTAGTGGTGATTATTTTTACTGAACACAAGGACTTGGAATTGAGAACTCAAAGTGCAGTGGTTTATATCCAAGCATTCTGGTCAGAATTTCAAATTTACTTCAATAGTAATAACCTCCACTGAGGACTGGCTACTTCCTGCATACAAGAATATATAAAATCGCACAACCCATGTTTTCTAGGCAAGAACTTAGAGTGTTTTTTTTTTTTCACCTTAAATTATGTTGCAGATGTAGACAGATTGAGTGTAGTCTTGGGGATTTTTGTTTTTTGCATTTTCCTGCTGGATCAGATGTCTTGGGTAAGAGTTCTTCCAGTACAAGAGATTTGTTTTTTCAGCCTTGTCGGCAAGAGGTCTTATTTTCCCAGATAAACCAAAAAGACTCTCTTATGAGTCACAGGTTCTATGAAAGTATCAGGAAAAGTCATCATTCATACGTAGCTAATTTTTAGTCTGCTCCATATCCACCTCACACAACTTGGTCTGGTGTGTAAGAACTGTCCCATTTTGATATTTTGTTTTAGGAAAAAATACTTTTTTATGCAAATATAAAAATAATGTAAAAGCTTTTGGCAGTTTGTCTTAGTCTGGCTGTAAGATTTTTAGGTCTTCACCTTATAAGAATGAGTCGACACAACTGCTGCCCTGTAACTCATGGCGCAGTCATCTGGCTGATGTAAAAGCAACCACTGATGTTATCTTCATGTGTTTGCACACGAAGTGAGTGGGGGGGGGCAGATTTTACAGGAAGTAATGTTTGGACCAAGATGGGAAGTATGAGTAGGGCTTTGAAAAAAAAAAAACTGCAGAGTCATGATGCCGCGGTGGTTGTTGGAAAATGAAAATTTTTTCCCCATAGCTGAAATACAAACTGAATGGGAGATTACAGCTTGCCATAGAAGAGTGTGCATTTGGTTAGAAAGTTAGCGCTCTGCTGTGAGATGGAGGGGCCAGGTAACTGCTGCTTAGATTAATGAACCTTCTAACTGTTGAATAACTCAGTCAACAACTGGTCACATTAGAATGATTACAATTATAAATTTGATTTCCTAAAAAGAATACTGGGATTCATCACAGCACAATTCCAATATAATGAAATGGTTTATTCTCTTATAAATCTGCTATTACAAAAATTCTGTGTTTAATATAGTTGCTTATTGTAAGATGAACCCCAAAAGTGTGAGGGTGGTAATGATAAGATGATTTTGTAATTTGAGATTTGACTAGCACTTAAAGTGGTCAAAGCTGTTTTTCCTGTTCCCAAAGTTTTTCTCTGCGACTACTGGTTAGACTGGATAGGTTGAATACCTGGTTTTAAGATCACCTTTTACTCTATACCCATAGTGCAGGCTTTGAACCTTTAAAGGTTAGTTAGCACATGTTTCTCATTTTCCAGAAAGAAACAAAATGATCTCCCTGTACTGAATAAAGAATTAAATGTGATACCTACAGATTAAATTAGCTTTAACAGCAGCAGATTATCTTATTGAAATGTTCTTTATTAACATAGTCCTGTCTTCTTAAGGAGATGATTTTTTCCCTTATCTTGTTTTTTTAAAACATGGATATATCTGCATCTTAAGAATGCCAGCTAAAAATCAAGAGATTAGTTTTTAAAGGCCCAGAAAGTTCTGTGATTTTAAGACACTCCTAAGACTTGACCACCCCTTACTTTTCTTTTGTCTGCATGTTCAGTAGGATTATGAAACACTAAGATAATCCCATTAAGAAAAACATTTTTTTAAACAAAAGTAGATTTAAAAAAAAACCCAAAAAGCATACAGAATACAGGTAGGTAATGAAATTAGCTATTTCTGGAAGATTCTTGACTATTGAAATTCTTGACTATGGGTATTTTGGGTGATAACTTTGACCTTTGTGCTATGAATTTATTGTACAGTAATGTGGTAATTCAATACTTTGATTCTCATTTGATGTTTAAGACAGAGTTTTGTGTTAGACTCAGGTATAATTCATTTTTTAAATACAGGTAGACATTTTAATGATGTGTTTAAATGATCTAATAGTAGGAAAGCGAAAGGGTCCATTAGGAGGTTTTGCTCCTTTGCTGCATACAAAAACCACTTCAAAACCTAGTGAAACAGCTATTCACTGTTTTATTAAGTTTCCTGTGTTTTGGGGGCAGTTGTACTGTCATGACCTTGGTTAATTCCTGCGTCAGTATTAGAACCAGAGATTTCCCAGATGGCAAGCCCCAAGATGGATTCATTCTTATTGTCTAACATTTGATGTTGGTTGGCATCCCACTGCTCTGTGAGAGCCTTTTATGACATGAGGTCAGAGCAACATTTTAAGAACGTAAAAATGGAAGCTCCAAGAGTTTTTCTTTTGTTTTCATGTCTTATTTATTTGACAGGGACAGATACATCTCCTACTAGCTAGCTCATTCCCTGGATGCCTGCTACCAAGATTGTGCCTGGTTCAATCTGGGAACCAGGAGATTAATTTGGTCACCCAGGTGGATGACGGGGAAGAAATTGCTTGAGCCATCTGCTGCCTTCCAGGTGCACATCAATAGAAAACCAGAATTGGGACCAGAACTCACACTTGAACCCATGTGCTGTTTGATTGGATTGCCAGTGTCCCTGGTGGCATCTTAAAAGACCAAGCCAAACTCCCACTCCTCTTGACTTTGGCAAATCATATGTCATGCCTTCTGTTAGCTGCAGTTAAGCCTTACTAGGCTGACCTATATTTAAGGAGTGGAGAGAAAAGGTCCTTGTCTTGGGCAAATCATCAACATTACATTGCAAAGAGTTTTGCATACCTACAGTGCCAGGGTATTAATAGCCTTGTTTTATGGCTTGCTACACATCTAGACAAGTATAAATAAAGAATTGTTTACAGTGTTGTGATTAGCATTACTTTATGGTTATAAAGGCGTCGATAAAATAGACAAGAAAATTGGTTGAAAGTTGATTGCTGTTGGAGTTGGTTGATTGATACATGGAGGATCATTGATTGTATAATATCCTTGCCAAGGCTATAAACTAGCAGTTGAATAGCTATTTAAAAAACATTTTTTTATATTTATATTTACTTGAAAGGCAGAGCAACACACACATACACACATCTTCATTTGCTGCTGCCCCTTCCCCCAAAATACCTATGTGAAACCAGGGGTAAGCCAGGTGAGACCTGCAAGCCTGAAACTCCATTCAGGTCTCCCATGTGGGTGTATGTTCCCAGGCACTTGGGCCATCATCTGCCTCCCGGAAAAGAAGCAACAACCTGGAAAGCTGGCAGCACCAAAACTCACTGGCATAAATGAGATGCCAGTATACCAAGCAGTGGGCTAACCCAATGTTGACCCTGTAAGCCTGCAGTTTAGAAAGGGAGTTGTTTAACCTAAGGCGTTATCTATGAATTTTATTGTGATAAAAATTATTTTTTTTAAAGATTTATTTTATTTTTATTGGAAAGGCGGATATACAGAGAGGAGAGACAGAGAGGAAGATCTTCCGTCCGATGATTCACTCCCCAAGTGAGCGCAACGGCCGGTGCTATGCCAATCCGAAGCCAGGATCCAGGAATTTCTTCCGGGTCTCCCACGCGGGTGCAGGGTCCCAAAGCTTTGGGCCGTCCTCGACTGCTTTCTCGGGCCACAGGCAGGGAGCTGGATGGGAAGCGGAGCCTCTGGGATTAGACCCAATGCCCATATGGGATCCCAGGAGTGCAAGGCGAAGACCTTAACCACTGCGCCATCGTGCCGGGCCCTTGAAAAAAATTATTTTTAAAAAATC